TTTGATGCGCGTAGCCACTATCATGGGCCTTGGGTCAAATGGTGCAAACGGGCAGTTTCTTCCGAACGAGCTGGAAGGATCAACATGTGACATTGGTTCTCTCCGAGACCAGTGTGATGCTACAACAGTAACAACAGCGATGATGGTAGAATCCAACATGCTCAACTATGTCTGTATTTTCTGGTTTTGACCACGTGGGTCATTTTTGGATGTGCAGGTTACTGGTTGTACCGAAAGTGGAAACATGGAATGACAGTCATGGAAAGAGAGCACTATCATGTGGGCGTTCAGGTTGCAGAACTGGATGGAGCCTATACCGACTACAGTGGAAGGCTGTTCTCAGCAGAATTTGGTCTTGGTGAGACGGCACGTGACTTAGAGTTTCTCCAGGACTATGCAAGCAGCATCCACTATGGACTGGTCGAAATTGGAGGGTTCAGAAGGTATAACGAACTCACTGCGGATCAGAATAGGCACATGTATGCAACTGAGCGAGCCAATTTGACTTCTTTTCAAGCGATGGGTGGTGAAAGATACATGAGATTGGTAAACCAGCATTCAACTGGGATTCATGCAGCAGTTGACACCACAGATCAAGGAGAACAAGAACAAGGAGAAGAATCAGAGATGGAAGTGGATGATGCAATTCACGTCCACACTAGAGAACAAGTTGTGAACAGACTTCAAAGTCTACTCAATGAATGTTTGGCGTTGCATGAACACTCAGATGCGGCAGCAGTTCGACAGCTGGTACTCATGGCGCTGGACAGAGGAGCACCAGGAACTCCTTTGATTCCAGAGCAACTTGAGAGACTTCTCATGGATATCACTGAAGGCCTAGATGCAAGATTCAGAAGGAGCAACAATCATTCCAGATCGCGCACAGCGAGACTTTTCGCTATGTGGAGGAATTTGAAGTACAGCTCGGAATCAGATTCGGACCATAGAAGAGAAAGACCAATTTCGAAAGATTTGCACGACAGTTTTTCACTGAAGGTGGAGCTGATGGAAAGAATTTAGAAAAGTTTGGATGAGGTCACAGCAAAATTTGCTGTAGGCTGGTCGAAAACAACAGGAGAAATTTCCAAGCTGAAGCTCAGAAAATTTAGGAGGAGTGCGAACGTTTTGACTCAGCACTCATCCCTGTCAGGTACTCCAATTTGAGCACATGAAAACCATGTGAACTCATCACAGTTTCAGACGTGGAATCCATAGGCCCTGAGGCTCAAAAGATCGCTCCATCTTTCTTCGCAGATTTCAATATCGTTGCAAAAAAAGGTCAGAACATTTTTGGATGTTCTTGGCCTGACACGACTGGTACCAATGTTTTGCATTGTGGCAAGACCAGTTCATACAGGGATGTCCTTGGGACAGTCTGTATCTTTGTTGGGGCAGCCATAGGCAAGATTGAAATCGATACACTTCGATTTGCCGACAAAGATGACGCAGGCATATGTCGCCAAGTGCTGGTGTGTGACAAAGATGTGTGTGAAAGATGGTGGTTGACAAAGATGTGTGTGAAAGATGGTGGTTGACAAAGATGTGTGTGTGAGAGATGGTGGTTGAGAAAGAGGAGGCGGAGGCGGAGGCGGAGGCGGAGGAGGAGGAGGAGGAGCAGGAGGAGGAGGAGGAGCCGGGATACAGAATCAAAAACAAGAATCCCACGCAAAGATGTGGGGAAAAACATCCAAAAAAAACACACCAAAAAAAATGCACCCAATGATGATGGGGACTGCGTTTGTTGATGTGAAACTCAGCAACTATGATTATGTATCCGTAACTAGCTGACATTGGATATCCAATCGAACATGGATTATCTCCTAAGTGAATGTGGTTTGATTGGCTCGCCAGGTCAACCCAAAACGAGATGTGCTGCATTGATCATTTTTTTCCCCCCGGTTTGCCTCTTTCTATGTCAACTTTTAGTTTGAGAAAACTTGATCCAGAACTTCAAAACACATGCGGGATGGGCACACACACTCAAATCACTAAATTGTCAGCAAAAACTGGGAAACGTGTCCCTTTCATTTTGGGTCTCTGTCTAACCATGGGACAGAAAAAACCACATAGAATTCTTCTTCAGGAAACAATTCTGAATAGAATTTCATGAAACATTCGCTTCAGAATTTTGTGGCTCAGACATCAAGAGATGGATGCAGTCAAGATCCATGGACTTTCGATAACAAGAACTTGCAGCATCCTTCCGTCAAACAGAAATAATTGTTTTTAGGGGCACTTCTGATAACGTTACATCTAGTGTGAAGGTTTTTACCTGGTGGCCGAAGATTTCAGAAGTGACTTGCAATTTCCCACGCCCTGATCGTGGCCGCCACTGTGCTTGAAATCGCCAATGCGTTTTTCACAGATTCTGTGTTTTGGCCCGGGGCTTGTGAAGCTCTCAATCATTTGGCCGATCACCAGGAGATTGGACCCCCCAAACCAAGGTGCCCTTGAATGAATGTGAAACGGTGACATTTTTAAACATATTTCTCCGTTGGATGCAACTAGACTTCGCAGGTGTGGGTTTGGGTCTAAACTGAGACCGACAGATTGCAGTCAATTTTTCACCTTAAGGGTTTCATCCATTGTTGCGCTACCTTGAACTCATACTTACATCATCATAGATCTATAGTTTTTCTGTTTTGGAATTTGTTCAGAAATTCATTCAAAGAATTGGTTGTCTCTGCCTGAAACGAAGACAATTTACAACCTTACAAGAACAGTGTTCATCACTTTGTTGAGATCGGCCACTTCACAGGGATAGAGATCTGCCCAGCTAAGGTCTGCTCTCGCAGTTTCTTGCACACGTCCAAGTGCAGGATCCATTGACTTCGCGTGCGTTTGTTGCAACGGTGAGGGTGCCTATAGTGGCTAACTCCATAAAAAATCAATTTCAATATCCATCATTTTTACAATCAGCCTCTGGCAACGTCCCTGCATGATTGACACCTTGACCATGCAAAATAGGGTGTGACTGACATCAACATGGTGCGATCAGCTGATTCTGTGGATCAAAATCATCAAATCATCATGAAAACAAACCTATCTACCTATTTATATCTGATTCTGAGTCGCATTCATCGGATTCATCGCGAGCTTGGAAAGATGCGTTGCCAACAGATTTTGTGGAGACCCCTTTTGAGGCGCCCTTTTCTGGTGACCATTTCCTCAGGTGACCTAAGGTATCCTTGCAGTCCACAATTTTCTCATGCTGACCACTCTTGATTTGTGGCAAAAAGTTTAACCTTTGAACACACAGATCTTTACATCCATAGTGTCCCTTTTTTTAAGAGATTCACACAGATTCACCATCCAAAGGGGTGCCATGTTTTTGGAAACATGGCTGCAAACATCAACAACAGCTGAATCAAGCAGTTGATCAACAAAAAAATCCACCTTGTCCTGCCAGGATCCCCTTGGATGCCCTGGTGGGAGTCCAAGATGGGGAGAGATGGAGATATCATGAGACATTGTAAGTTATGAAATGATATCATTATAACATATTCACGACACTACACGATGATGATGATGATAGATGTTGATAGATGATTGTAGATTCATAGATGATATGACTAAGTAAGATCACATGATTTGATGGGCAATATTTTTAACAACTGACTGGTACGTTATAAGGTTTTTTCACGAGCAATGGCTGCAATCCTCAGCAGCGGAGTGCCAAGTGGGACAGCAATCATGGACTCTCCATTTTCACTGTTGGATTCGTTTTCAGTGGTGTGGGGATCTATTTGCCGATCCTCTCCACCATTCGAATATTTTGTATCCGAACGCAGATTCTACATGATTTTACATGATTTGATGTAGTGAAGTACCAGAATCATGACCACCCCATGGCATGGCGCTGTGGCGGCATGAGGCCAATCGGTTTGCAGATTCGTTCCTTTCCTGTTCATCCCGTTTCAGAGTGATTTTTTTTGGCAGATAGTGAGCTAGGTGTACAGTATTCTGACAGTATCCTGTTGGGGATGGCATTGTTTGGATCAACGTGGGGAAATCGATCCCCTGTGATATTCAACCACCCAAAGCTGGTCTTGTTCTCCTGTTTCTGAATAATCCACTCAGAGCTGATTGGGATACGCTCACGAAATTTGCAGTAACTTGAACGTTGTCTCCCCAAAACGGCCATATCCAAGAGTAAATACAGTAAATCGTCTTCCAGATTTTATTTTTCCGATTTCCATGTTGAATTTGGCGTGTTCTGGCGGAAACCGCGAAGTGACTTGTGGCAGACTCATTCACTTCCCGCAGCAGGAATGTTCGTTTGCGGTTGCATTCTCTACTGCTAGTTGTCACGAAGCTGTTTCACCTTGGTGCCTCGAAAAAACGCATGCCGGTCTGTTGCAGCGGAGAAATTCTTGGGACAAGTGTTTGGGCATGTCCCATATTATCGGCAATGGGGGACTTTTAATCAAGTTAGGGCCAAGTAACCACATTTCTTGGGTGGCATTGTAAACCCAAAATTGGCTGATCCTACCTTTTTTCAAGTGGGAACTTGAATCTATCCAACCCCCCCAAGCTATGAAATGTAAGTTGTTGCGAATGGGGGCCCTGAAACGATGTTAATAGAGAGATTTTGTCCCCGAGATTCAAGTGGCTGACTAGCAATCCACAACTTAGCCAATCTTGGATGCCGTGCGTAAAAGAATCTGGTCAGGATGGGTCAGTATGTCATTTATAGCCAAAAGCTAACCTAGCATCCAACCAAGATCAACCCAGATCAATCCATATAATGTAATCTGTATGCTCCTAACCCGCAGCAATTGAAAATCGTGGCAAAATCTGGGTTTGGCCGTCCAAAGATCCATTGGTGAAAACGCTGCTGTGGATCGCAGCTTCCATTGAAGACAGGCGAGGCTTGCTGGGACAGCCTCTTGGAAGGTAGTTTCTAAAGTGTTGGGGTATCCAAGAAGGGACCTAGTAGTCTATTTCCAACAGGAAACCTGCGGGGTCCACATTCGAGTGCCTTGACTCACCTGTTGCAGGTTGAGCAGCAACAATGTGTGGGGCCTGGTCCTGAGAGGGACCGAGCCCAGTCAACTGGGTGAGCGTGTCCCTCAAGGTTTCAAGGGGTTCCCCAAAAAGGACCGAGCCGGCAGAAATGCCGGTGAACGTGTCCACCCCCAAAAGGTCAGTGACCACATTTCCAGACCACAAATGACTTGCGAACGATTTCATGGTTTTGGTTCCACGATTTCCTGTTCAATTTCTGCAGGTCCCATCCTCCCTTAAGGATTTAGGAGGCGTTTTTTTGGTTTGTGTGGGGTGAACGCTTTGGGAAAATCAGCCACATTTTGGCAACTGAGGTCCTTGTCACATGTACCTTGGCGCAAACTTGTGGGGGGTGCAACCACGTGCCACAGTCCTAAGCAAATGAAGTCCCATGTACTGATCCATGTCCCATGTCCGTGAACACAATGGCCATGCAGTAAGGAACCCTCGCAAAGAGACTTTTGGGTGTGTACCTTGAGTTCTGAGAATGACCATGATAGTATCTGGGTTTTACACAGGATAGTCCCACTCAGAGGGACTAGCTAACTTCTTAACCACTGCAAGCCAGTACAATCTGGAAATCCATCCCTGAGACAGGTAATTTGTGCCACGCTTATGACAGTGGGGTAAGATTCTGGGTTGTTGCATAAGTTACCCCCGGTATAAGTTGGTTTATAAGCCCATTAACTCTCGACATATTTTTGCACAGCTCATGGGCACTTTCGTCGCAGCGTGCTCCACTCTGGACATATACGTATATAGATATAACATAATATAATATAATACAATTTATATATATATATACATGTTTAAATACAATACACTACAATATAGTATAATATAATACAATATGGCATAATATGAATACACACACATATATGTATATATGTATATATATATACACATAATGTAATACCATACAAAATAATACACGTCAATACAATACAATATAGTATAACATAATACAATACAATATATTGCAATTTAATACAACATACTACAATATACTTTGATATAATGTAGTTAAATTTAATATGATATAATACGATACACGATGATAAAACATGATATAGTTCAATATAGCATTACCAGATAGAATTTAACTTCTTATAATTAAAACTAATAGACCATTTTTTGATATAGTACAATAAAATATCGAATAGTACAATACAATACAATATAATACAATACATTATAATATAAAATAATACAATTTGATATTTTACAATACACTACAATATAGTGTAAGACATATGATAAAAGATGGTCTAATATAATTTAATACAATATAGTACAAGTCAATACAATACCAGTAAAATACATATAGTACGATATAATACCCTATAATACATTTTTTTACAATATTATATATTATACTATAATATCATATAATGCAACAACATACAATATATATATATATATTATATATAATCAAAAAAGATATGAATTGATATAATATAAATCAATACAATATAATATAATGTCATGATATAATACAATACAATATAACATAACATAATATAATTTAGTATGATACAATAGATTAACCTTTCATTTTTGTCATATGATATTTATTTGAAATATTTTGAAATCTTTTTTTGAAATATTATATATATAATATCTACCAAATATTAGGTATCTAGGGGCCTTGGGGGCCTCACCTTGTGGTGAAAGACGGTCAAAGTCAAAAAACTTTGAATGCCAGGTCGGAAGATTCGTCACGGTGCGCAAGCACAGCTCACTGGCCTGTGCTGTGGTATCCATGACGGATGTGAGAGTGCGACAGGCCGGGGCTTGTGAATCTTGTGATTGCTTCACATGGATGCCATTGCTTCTTCCAATTAAGTATCTGGTAGTAAGAGTGTAGTAGTAAGTATGTAGTAGTATGACCATGGTGTGTATCGCAACACTTGGGAAAAGTGCTCAAAACATTTAGTTTTGCCATTGAAGTCACACATTAACATTGAAGGATCTACTAAATACTCCACTGCGTAATGCAAACCGTGGACCGAGGTAGTATGTAGTGGTAAGTATTATCTAAGTTCAAGATAGGTGCTTGATATCCAGCTATAAGATAGGTACGCTCCGCTTGGTACGCTTGGTGCGCTTGGTGCGCTTGGTGCGCTTAGTACGCTTGGTACGCTTTGGGTAGGTACGCTTGGTACGCTTCGTAAGGTACGTTTGGTACGCTTACCAACCGTACCAACCGACCAACCGTACCAGTGAACCGTACATAACCGTACCACCGTACCGTACCAGATTAAGGGGGGGTCAAAAAGGGGGGGGGCGTTTTGGATGTACCAATACTACTGTACATCCAAACCCCCCCCCTTGACCCCCCCTTAATCTGGTACGGTACGGTGGTACGGTTATGTACGGTTCACTGGTACGGTTGGTACGGTCGGTACGGTTGGTAAGCGTACCAAACGTACCTTACGAAGCGTACCAACCGTACCAACCGTACCGTATCACATGTACCAACCGTACCATACCAAGAAAACCAAACCTACTAGCCGTACGTACCAGACATGTTTGGATCTTACTTAGGGCCTCTACCACTTATCTTGAACCTAGCTAAGGTAAGTATGTAGTAGTAGTGGGGCGACGGTTGACATCAGAATGCGACCTCAGGCCATCCTTCGCGAAGCCGTTGGCTTCGCAATCGATGGCTTGACGCTGGATGTCAAAGCCCACAGAGTCAAGGACTGAACAGACATCTTGTTTTTTCAGTTTGAGGACTTGGCAGCCTGGGATCATTGTGTGAACTGCAGGATCGCAACCGTACAACGGCTGTGTTCGTTGCTTGGGGCAAGCAGGCCAGGGAGGATGCAGCAATTTCTTTGTACTGTATTTCTTCAAGCTGCGAGGTTTGTTTTCTTTGACAGTTCTTACTTCACCCCTGCAAGGAGAAGAGGAGTTGCCTCTCGGTGGACCAGATTGCCGCGTGCCTTTCCAGCACTTGTTTGTCATAGCATGGTTTCATGTCCATTGAATCAGCCATTCAGAACATCAGGCAATAGCTACACATGGGAACATCACTGCACAACTCAAAGCCAACTAACCTCTGCAAAGCACATGTTGTGGGCCAACGGGCCTTTGTAAACTTAGTACACACACACACAGCCACACGTTCTCAAGTTGGTAAGTGTCTTGAAATTGCGTGAACTTTAAAATCTCAGCTGCATCCCATATGTATTCTGGAAGCTTGCTCTCTTCCACATGGGTGAGACAATGACACATCACACTCGCAGTCTAAGTGCAGCAAATCAAGCATCGCATGCAGGAGAGTAGGTGACAAGTGGAAATCCACTCAACACCCGTGAGTTTACAGCCAAATTTTGAGCCCCCATTCTCAGCGGTTCAATTGGGGGGTGTTGCGCGTGCTGCTACTCCGATAGGTACTTTGACGAGAAGTACAAGGGCATCATTGCAGCATGGAAGGCAGCCGTAAGTCCAACAGCATTGTCTTTATGGATGTAAATACTGCAGAAATGTAAACATGATGGCATTGCTATGGGGCAGGCCCCAACGGCAACCACGGCTATGGGTCAGCAGCTGGTGTTTGCATTTTTTGCATTGGACCATCGACTGCAACAGGCACCGCAGAAGCAAGTTGAAAGTCACGTATCTTATCTGCAATTTACCGCGACAATTCATCGCGAATCACTTGTCATTTGCAGTGAGCAATCATTTTTAATGTGTTGGATTAGTGCCAGAGCAAGCTGTTTTGATCCGGGAACATCATCCTGTTCTAAGACTTGTCCAAAACCTCAGTCCTAACCTTGAGCAAATTATCGAAAATGTGGGTGAAGTGATAGCCTGTGGTAGCCTCCCGCTGCTGAGCCTCCGCAGACTGTGGCAACGCCAGTGGGAAGACGATTGTGCCGAACTCAGTCTTTGAAAGATATGTTAGACAACCCAGGAACAGAACAAATTGGGTGATGAGCTTATCCTGCACTCTTAAGAACCCGAAAAATCTTGCATTCCTTCTGAAGGTTGAAGCAATCCTCAGATAGGAAACAGTAATGTATGGCTTTGCAAACATGAGACACAAGGCTAGCATGTCCATGTCTTGTTCGCGGCAGGATCCAAGACCAGAAGCTCGAAAAGAAAGACCCTTCCGCCACAGTGGATACTGCCGAGGCTCTGCAGGCACAGCCCAAGACCACCCAAGGTCCACCTGCCACTGCTGGAGGAGGAGCACAGGCTACCCCAAAAAAGAACATTCTCGACGAGATCCCACTTGCAGATGCGACCCAAGAGCACCAAGTCAAGGAGCTGACTCCACCTGACAAAATCTACAACAAGGAGCTGATGTTGCGAGTTTGGAGGCTGCAGCGCAGCGAAGTGAATCCTGCAGTGTTGGGCCTGGGTGTTGCTAAGCGCCCTTGGCGTCCAAATCCTCGGTCAGCCAACAGCAGTGAAATCAGAAGGCCTGAGACGGATTCACCCGTCCTGGAACAGTCAGAGAAAGCTTACAGAATCACAAAGCCGACTAGCCCAATGGAGGCGTTGAACAGGAATGTCTGTGCTTTGTTGAACAAGATTTGCCCCGAGAACTTGGATAAAATTGTGGAAAAATTGGCCAACATTGAGTTGCAGAAGGCAGCAGAGCTTGAGTGTGTCATCAAGGCCATTTTGGGGAAGGCGTTGGTCGAGCCACACTACTGTGAAACGTATGCAGACATGGTTTTCGCCCTTCAGAAACGATACCCGGAATTCCCTCCGGAAAATGAAGGGGAAAGGCCTCTCACCTTCACCCGAGTTATGCTCAACACCGTCCAGAATGAGTTCGAAAGTTTGCCAACACACTTTGAACCTACAGATGATGACAAAGCAAAGTTCCCCGACCCAGAAGACTTGCAGAGGGAGATGAAGAAGAGGAAGGACAAGCACCCTGTCTGCACCAGCAAGGGCGGGCAAGATAAGAGTGCACACTGATGATATCGCATGAACCAGATATTCGTAGAAAAGGACCGGGGTTCGTGAAATCTGTAGATGGCTTTGATGTCAAGTTCCGTACATTCTCGACATGCTTGGAGACATTCCTGCTTGTTTTGTTCGGGACATTCCATACATTTGTGCTTTGTGATTCCAGTTTCGGGCTTCGTCAGCTGAGGATGCTTGCCAACATGAAGTTTATTGGAAACCTCTTTTTGCGCCAGTTGCTATCCATCAAGGTCATTGGACAGGCCGGGACAAGTCTGACGTGGTCAGAAGATGTCAGAACTTGGAAGTTTGGAGACGGTCGCTTCATTGCACAACACCTGTGCATAAATATATATATAACGAAATGTTATTAAACAGTTTATATACCGAAAAAATCTTGATGCACTGTGGGTTTTGCAATGGCTTTGCGATGGCTTGGAAGGTGGTCAAGGGCCTGATCGGCATCCAGGATGGAAATGCACTTCCGAAGGATCACATGATCGAATGTGCCTGCGAGCTGCTGCAAGCAATTGGCTCCACGGTGGACTCTGACCCTTGGTCGAGTTAGGTCCAGTTGTTGAATTCTGCCAGAGGCACTTGTGAGGCCACGATTGTTAGGATTCGGTTGCAATTCGTTTGATGTGCAGTTGAAGTTGTTGTGACATTTGTGACTCCTTACCGCCACAAGGAAAAAACTCTTGGGGGGAAGCTTTTGATGGATGCTTTCGCTGCGAGACTCAAAGATATCAAGGCTGCTTTCAGCATGAGACGCGCGTCGAAAAATTATATGCTGTATATGTATGTTGATATTTCACAGTATTTCAAGGTGTTTGAATCAGTTTGACATTTGCCAGCCCTTGGACTTTTTGCACCATCCGCTGTAAAGGGATCGGATGGGCACCTGAGGAATCAAAGTGTTGCCTCTTGGCCAAACCTTTTTCATCCTTTCTCTACACATTCGAGTGTTGCTTTTCTTGTGTATTCGAATGATTCTTCACTATTTGCAACCTTTGATGAATCAATCATTGGAGAGATATGGAGAGATCAGGATTGAAAACTTGCTCCAGCTTCGCAAGAATAGGTGGCAGTGTCTTGGCTTCAGAGCACATCTCACCTCTGTTGCTCGCACAGAAATCGGCCGCAACTCTTCCAAGTTTCGGGTCATTTTCTTGAAGGATGCTGAAGGTCTAGAAGATGTGGAGTAAAATGCTGCAAATCGTATAGCGGTTCAGGATTCTTTAATGGGTCATTTGGATAATCAACCTTTTGGAAAAATGTTGCGCATGTTGCTGAAGGCTTCTTGAACTTGAAACTCTTGCGTTGCTGCCATATCTACCGTTGCTTGATATACTGTATTGCTTGCGCTGTCATTGCTTCCATCTCCAAGGAGGAAACTCTTCAAGGAGCAGGCCAAGACGAAGGCGGCTGTTCGAGATGAGTTTGATCAAGCTCAGAAGGCTCAACAGAATGGTCGCAGAAAAGGGCCGGATAGTCTCTCGGCAGCCTCTAGATGTCACTAGACGTTTCTATTGATGGGGGACACTGCCAGTTTTGAACATCTTAAGGTGCTTTTCTATTCTAGATCGAGAAAGCAGTCCCTTGCATAGAGAGCTAGCAATTGGCTGGTTTGGTGTGGACTGAGAAGTATCCACGACACGGGAGGTTTTATGAAGCTCATGCATGTTACTCGTGTGATTTCCTGCCCTAGGCGTGTTCTCCTTCCAGACAGCGGGAGCGAGGCCTTCGTACATTGATGCAACTTGGATCAACGGCTGGATCAACATGGCACTGCGTACCTCTCAGGATCTTTCAGGTCGACGGGTTTTCCCAGTGAAGCCTCTCTTGGCCTACCTAGGACATTGCAAATCAGAAGGAGCGCCCTCAGGCGGATACATGCCCAGAACATGGGAAGTTTAAGCAAGTGAAGAACCTTGGCAACAAAAGCAAGGGCAAGGGGTTGGATGGTTTTTGAATGGCTTTTCGGTGGTGCAACTCATGCACTCCCACTTTTGCGCTGCAACTCAGGAAGATGTGCGAGTACTTTGCAGATGATAAAGACGGGGAGTCTCTCCAGCAAGACTGGGCGAAAGCCGAGCCAAGCGACAAAGAAGCAAAGCAAGGCTGGTTGGCTGGTTGGGGATCAGTTGTGATGCGCATGGTTTTACCAAAGCGTTACAGGGTGTGATTCTCGAAAGCACCATGTCCCCAGGAGTCGAGTGGCTTTTGGAGACGGGGTTTGAGGATGCTTTGCTTCAGAGTAAACTGATTTTCTATCAATTTCAAGCAATTTCTCAAGGTTTCTCGGGCAAAGTTTGCCTTTTCTTTGACAGCGGTCATATGCGGTCATAGTGTTGAGCAGATTTAGCTGCTGAGGACAGCAAAAAGGCTGACATCATGGCGGCAACGCTTGCCGAACTCATGAAAAGGTGCCTGGTCCCATGGGAGACTTTCAAGGAATGCTTCTCAGCATCGCTGTCAGCTTTGCCGGACTTGAAGATCCACGGCCGCACTTGGCAGACTACTTGAGCGGCAGCGAATTCCTGTGATCATTTAAATATACAACGGTTTACCGTGGTTTACCTTCTGTGGTCCTTAACTCGACAGTTGGAACAGCGTCGTGAATTGTTGAGTGGTGGCAGAAACGACGAGAGCAAGTGTCAACCATTCCGTTTTGCCATGTTTTGCCATATTTGGATTGCCTTTTTGCTCAGGATGGATGCTCCCCACTGTGACATCATGGTCCATTGTTTGATTGCACGCCTGCTGATGTTGGAGAATTTCAACCAGGTGCCTTCGACTACTGTAGATGTTTGGAGTTTGGAGCATGAGCCCCGCAATGGTATGGGTCAAAAGGGGGTACCACTAAAAAATCACTAACTTGAACATGTTCGAAGATCAGAACACGCTAAACATATCGAAACATATCGAAACATATCTAAACATATCTAAACATATCTAAACAGATCTAAATAATACCCTGAAGTACTGAGGGTCCTGGGGACCACCTTTCAAAGGGTCCAGGATCATTTTAGACCCCTCGACTTTCTATGCATATCATTGTACTTCTGGATATCATATATTTGATATTATTTGATTATATTTGTACATAGTCGCTGCTTGTGTAGATTTATTTTTTATTTTTTATATGTTAGTGGCAGTGACTGTGAGTTCGTTTAGCAAGAAATTTTATCGATCAGAGTCTGGATGGGGTGTGCCTTCCCAATGGCTGACAATTTTTTGGAACCAATTTCAACCGACACAAAGATTTGGAACCAATTGCAACCGAAATTTGGATGATGTGTGCTTGCCAAGTAGTCTTGATCAGTTTGTGGACATAGTTTGCGCAGAAGCCGTTTCGCTAAAACACATGGCCCAACATGAGTCCAACATAGGCCGTTTCCAGCCCAATTTCTTCGCGCTAAAAATAACACTTTCAGCGCGAAGAAAATGGCCAAACAAAAATCCCCGAATCGCTTCCAAACGAGCCAAGATAGATCCAATATGGCTCAATAAAGGCACAGCATGAACCCAATTAATTGTGATTTTACACAACTGGTCAAAAGTATTTAAACTCGTTTGCACACAAAAAACATGATTCTAAATTCTAACATTGAAACTCAAAGCTCCCCCAACTGACATGAAGTTTCAGAGACTTTATGAGACATTCACCCCAAGTTGAAAAGACATCAGGGGGAGGGTCTGAAATAATATTGCCCGTTTATGGCAAGAAGGTTTCACCGCCTAGGCCACAAGAACACCGCATTAGACCCCTGTAGCCTGGGACATCCGTTGCTACATGTGGGCTAAAAACCTGGAGCTGGAAGCCTTTTTGGCCGTTTTTTGTGGGCCACACTTCCATGTATGTTGCACCCTAAGCGCCGGTATTCAGCTTGTGCGAAGAATATGTTCAAAGTTATCTTTTTTTTCTGGCATAGTTTTGGCAAACGTCAAGCTCAGGGTTTCATCCAAAGTTGGCATTTCAACATGGTATTTTGTGAAAGGGTGGGGTCAATAGAAATATGGTTTCTAAACAATTCAGCAGCTAGCCAGGGGGCACTCCAGCTTCCACGTTTTCATCCACAAACATTTTTTTCCAAACAATTCAGATTCCACAAACCGATTTTGGGGGCTTTGCGAAACATTGCAAAACCATTTGTTACAGTGTTCCAAGCATAGAGTAGTCTTCAGAAGGGATGGGTTTACCGACCTTTTGCAAAAGGAACCTGCGACGCCGCAATGCTTTTTGTAAAACCGTAGTGCAATATTCTAATGTAGAATAACCAAGTATAGAGAATTTCATCAATACATGATGTTAACAGGTCAGCTCAAAAAATGCGGTGGGATGGGACGGGAGATTCTGTGGATTCTCTCTTTGTTGAGGGCAAACAATGCCTGAAAACTGAAACAAACAGCAAAGCTAGATGAAGCGAAGGAATGCTCAGAAACAGCGAAGCGAGAGGAAACCGAGGGAAAAAGCAGGTAACTTTCGGTGATGCAAATTGCATTGTTTGAACAACCCCCATTTGTTCTGTTTTTGTTTTTGCTTTTGGCTTCATATTAGAACTTTATCTTAAACAATCTTTTTTATCTAATACCCTATGAATTGCAAACTTGTTCATAGGTATTCATATGTTGTATCTTGATACCTTCATATGTCAGCGTCTAGAATTTCGTTTTAGACCCAAAAGCTTGGAGCCCCCAAAAGGTCTAGGGTGGTCAAGTGGATTTTCCAAAAAACGCCAAGGAAATGACTAAGGATATTCATTTTGGACCAGGGGTTGGGGGTCTAAAATGAAACCTCAGGTCCCTAGGTAATAGTTGAGGGTATTCCAAATTTCTCTAAACATGACAAAAAACTCAGATTCACCCTGACCTTCAACTTGGATAACTCCGGCAATGCTCCCTGTGTTGACACTACATGACATTACCTGGCAGAGCCAAGGTTGTACTGAAGCCCATGCAGACTTTTGTCTCGCACAATGAGAACCGGGACCTGGGTTGGAGTTTGATGTGTCTTGGCCGAATTGTTCAGAACATGTTTGCTTCTACAAACTGAGCCATGCCCCAACGTGACTCTGGATGTCAATTTTTTCCTGGTCATGTATGTGAGCACGTTCGTTTTTTCTTTCGAAACAAAACGACCCCCCACAAAACTGATCTAACCTACCAGTGCCAGTCTTTTCTACAGTTTTCCATCATTCACAGCGGAATGATTCCTACCTCTGTCCATATCCCCAGGCTTGGCATTGTGAAGAAGTTGAAGCATGAGAACGCTCAGGATGTTGTGAGAAAGGCTCTCAACATGAGCAGCTTGGCCGGACTTGCCGTTGACTGTGATTCTGCTTGATAGGCATTGATACAGGCATTGATTTGCGCATTGCTATAGGCATTGATAGAGGCACTGATTGGCAACTGAAGACCACTTGAATTTGATACTTGATGATGCTGGATGATGCTTGATAGACATGCAGGTGCTTCGTATGTGCATTGTGCGTACCAATTCTTACAATTGAAGCAGATCTATTCAGCTCTGGCAGGACCCCACAGCAAATTGCTGCCACCAATAATTGTCAATACCATTCAATAAGTATAGTAAACATAATAGTAATAGTAACCATAACATCAGTACACAGTATCTAGATGTATCTAGTATCTAGTCTTCTGCACTTGGCATCGAACAAGACTCACATCTCAGGTGAGTTCATCTCCTGTGCTGCAACAGCGAGGAAGACAACTGTTCCAAATGCCAGGAAGCAGTTGCAATCAGCGTAGAAACTGTGTGCTGGAACCAGCACAGTAGAAACGAGGTAGAAATCAGGACGGTTCAGGCGTTCAAACAAAGATCTTCTCCGGGCTCTGGTCTAGCTTGATGCTTAATCCTTGAAAATAGCGTGGAAGATCTAGAAGCACCCAGCAACTTTGCAGCTATTATCAAAACAATGAAATCACATTAAAGCATTGTACCCTTTAACCAAGTAACGCTTGAACTGAAATGAGCATGCCACACAGTTCGCTTTTGTGACTTTGCCCAGAGGCCAACTGCAAGGATCGGCGGAAGGTATGGGTTGCCCCAAAGAAAACAGGGTGCCCATGGCATTCCCTTGGCGTTTCTCAATGCTCATTGATACTGTTGCACCCGCATCCATGTGGTCAAATTCAGGCAGTTTCTCTCCTGACTGAACACATGGTTTCTCTCTCCTTATCATGGTTTATCCCTAGATTTGAGTGTGCTAGCCTTCGTTTCCGATAGAGAGATCTCAAAATCAAAGTAAGACATTTTTTCTTGGAAAGCGATTTGACCACATGGATTCAGACCGCTTTAGCGCCACAGATGTTTGTTTCACGCGCACCCACAGTAGAGACTCATGTGCGAAAAACAGTTTTCTAAGTACTGAAGTCACTTTCTGTACTTGTTGATGGTGATGAGGAGGATGTTGCACTTGTACATTTTTGGTGCCTTACTGCAGAAGGCTAGCGGCTAGCTCAAAGCAGTCATGCAGAAGAAATGTAACCACGAACAAAGAACAACGTGTTGCATCCATAATTTGAACATATTTGATCCATAGTTTGATTTTTGTTTGTTGTTTGACCTTTTGCTCTTTGGTTTGATGTATCATGTCCTGATGATGATGATGAAGGAAGATGATGATGAAGACGATGATGATGATGAAGAAGATGGTGATGATGATGTTGATGTGGGGTGCTAGGTGGAATGTATTGGGATTTGAACTCCTGTAGCTGCACCGCTGCACATTGGTCCTCGCACATCGATCCTTGCTACGATTTGACTGGAGGCCATCCATGATGTTAGGCTTCAATGGTGAGCTGAGGGTATGAAGGTGGCTGAATTGAAAACAGTCAATGTATGAAATGTATGAGTTGTGGAGTTGGAGTCCAGCTGGAGTCCAGCTGGAGTCCAGTTGGAGTCCAGTTGGAGTCTGGTTTTGTTTGAACGTTTTCTAACTATGTTGTTTTCTCTCGTTCCTGTCAACGGTTTATTTGTTCGTGCGTTTGTTTGCCTGCTTGTTTTCTTTCCCTTTCGTCTGTTCATCTGCATGTTTGGTTGTCTGGTTGTTTGGTTGTTTGGTTGTTTGGTTGTTTGGTTGTGTGTTTGTTTGTTTGTGTTGCTTTGTTTTAGTTAGTTATGCAGTTATGTACAAATGAGTGAGTGCGTGAGTGAATGAGTGAGTTATTCAGTCAGTCAGTCAGTCAGTGAGTCAGTCAGTCATTTGGTTAGTTAGTTAATCCGTTAGTGTCGTTTTTCTGTGCTTTGCTTTGTTGTGTTTATTTTTTCTTGTTTGCTTCGGTTGAGTTCGCTTCCTTTGTTCATTTTATTCCGGCGTTTGATTTTTTGTTCATTAATTTTGTTGGTGTTTGACAAGTTCTTGCATGAACGGCACAACAAGTTTTGGGAGTTCTCTACAGTCGCACGCTATCATCCACATTATAACCTTGCTGACTAATGTCGGCCATGCAGCTCACAGTTTGGCTCGATCCCGGGGATTCATGCCAGGCCGCCGGCAGACGCAGGACACCCAGGGCACCCAGGGCACCCAGGGCACCCAGGTCTCCTGCGCACGCAGTTGACACAGCAAGAAATGGAGGGTTTTCTAAAATGGGGGGTACCCCAAAATGGATGGTTTGTAATGTTTATAATGATGATTTAAGGGTACCCCCATTTTAGGAAATCTCCGAATTGTTGCTCTCGCCACACCAAGCCAAGTGACATCATTTCCCAGAGTTTGCAGGAACTCGTGTGATCTGTCAGTCATGACCTGGGATGACCCTGTCACTTCTCACGCAAACCTTGAATGCCACGTCTGGTTCTGCGTTTCTAAATGTTTTGAAACGAATTTCTCGTTCCATTGTGACCAGTTGTTGTGGCCGCTATGGAAGGTGTGACATGAATCTTTTCGTCGAACGCAAATTGTTGAGTTCATGATCAAGTTGCAAAAGGTGCGCGACAGAGTCAGACAGAGTCAGACAGAGTCCGACAGAGTCGGACAGATTCAAATGTCCTCTAGTTTGTTTTCTCCACAAGTTATCAAACACCTGTTCATCCATGCACAGAATGTTGCGTAACCCTTCATTCATGCATTCGTGGTATATTCTTTGGGGTTTGAAGTTGCAACGGGTTTTCGTTGCCATGACATATTCTTCCCTTGTGATTGGGTTTTAAAAAACATGATTTGATTTGCAGCCCTGCATCTTCCAGGATATGGTTGCAGGGCATGTGTACCTGGTAGCCAGACATCCGTGCAGCCATGGCCTTACTGAGATGTAAGCAGAGCTGAAGTTCGTGAGAAGACAATGCTTGAGAGTCTACCAATAAAAGCAAAACGATGCAAAAAAACGAAACTGACAGCACATCGTGGCATGCAGCGCAAGCAAAGAACAGTGGCAGAAATATATAAGCAACCACATTTGTTTGGAATTGAATGTAGTATCCGCCCGTATGCAGGTTTTGCTCTGGATCAATCATTGCAGAAAGGCGTGGGGGACTCCAAAAACCCAGGAATTCTTGACATGCAATCTTTTTGAGAGAGTGATGTTTGAAGTTGTGACAGTGTTGGAAACCGGTTCAGCAACAGATCATGTTTCTTGGAATGCTGCACTTAAAAGTCGTTGCTCATATGTCAATGGTCAAAAGTTTCATTACACCCATATCGGCGGATTTTCATTGCTCATGCCACCGTTACTAGGGAACTTGAAATGGCACCAATATAAAAACTCCAATTTGGGATGGATGACCATTGAGGAAATGATTTTTGCTGATGGGTTTGGAATATTTCCGAGGCTGACGGAATAACCAGCAACATGGGGATAAAACATGCACGCCATTGATGTGTTGTTTCATTTTTTACTTGCCAAGAAATGGGGTTGACCTTCATAGTTTGGCAAGCATACAATCCGATTGTTTTGTTGGCTTTGGACAGACATGTCTCATGTGCTGCTTGCATGAGGTTTCTTGATATTTCTTGGTTGAGGTGGGATTCAGCGTTCGTTTCATGAAATGCTGCAGAAAATTTGGCTCAGTGCATTGCATCAAATCGGGTGTAGAGAGTTGCAGAACCATGAATGGCCCCTGGTTCTTTTTACGGGTCATGGGCTTGGTCGCAGGCAGCAAAGGTGCGTGCTTGCCCAAGGCCACAGCAGAGGTTGACCGCAGGGATTTGGTGAATGTGGTCGCAGGTGAGTCCTATTCCATTGGGCTTTGGAAAACTGGTAACTATGCCGCTGCCCACCTTACTACCGCTGTGGTGCAGATTATGGTGGAGGAGGGGCCCGCAGATGACCCACACTGACAGTACTGGTAGCGGGTGATTCACTAATTTCCGCGCGAACCCACACTTTTGCCAGCCTTTGCCACCCTTCAAAACAGGCATGCAGGGATCTTCATTTTCCCACTTTCAGTGGGTGAGGGTACGGGGCGTAAATGCGATAAAATGCGTATATAACAACAAATGTCCACAATAACATGGTCCAGCGACGTACACCACATGTAGCTGAGTGCTGCCCTCCAAGTGGCACCAGGAGATGCTGGGTTACAACACGGAGCTGAAAGGTACAGGAGGACTCGCCGTGGATGCTTTCTATGCTTTGATGGGGTGCACAAATCCTTTGGGCAACGCAGATCGAGGTTGTGGCCGCAGTGTGACCTACGTTCACATCAATGTGGAGGCTTGGCAAGAAGGCTACGTTGACGAGTGGGCTCAAGTCCAAGCCCAGTATCCCAAGGTGGCGCCCATAAATTTGGGAAATGGAGGCTACAGTGGCACAAGCGGGATGTATGTTCCACTTGCCGTGCAGCAGAAGGCTTATCAAGCAGAGGGCATCAGTTTGGATTTCTACAGGGACTACAACATGTCATGGAGAACCCCAGGGAGCTACTTTTCTCCCCCAGGTGATATGGATGTTTCGAGATTGCTTCCCTGCGCGGACACAGTGTTGATGTCTAACGCACATATGGGGGTGTATTTCGACCTCACAGGAGATGCAGAGGGTGTGGTGGTTGACAGCGAAGGTTTTGTAGTTGCAAAATGCTTTGCGGACCACTTTTGGTATGCACCTGCCTGCAGAGCAGATCCTGGCACTTGCTTGACGTGGTTAACTGCTGGCACTGGATGGGGAATGCCGGAAGGGTGGCTCAAGGCAACCATCTACAACATTCCTTTGGCAACGGCTGTTGCCAGTACTTTCCAGAACTATGCCAATCTGCCGACGGACTTCAATGTCATGCTCTTCTGGTGGGTTCCTGATCCTACTTTCCTCAGGCCCGTAAAATGCTAGTTGAAAGTCACGCTGTTGCTAGGTTTCCACCTGGCTTTCTGAGATGTTAATGGATTTCATGGCCCAAAAACTCAACATCACACCTTCTTTCATTTGCTTATAACTTCCATGTTCTAGCCTCAGTTGAAACGTTGATAAATGTTGATACAGTTTTGTCTTCGTGGCTTAGAAAGTCTCGGTAAGCGGGTCCAACCTATTTGAGGAGAGCCATATGTTTTTGTTTTTTTTTCGTTTATTAGTCCTTTTTGTTGATTCCTCTTTGGCTGTTGTTTTGCTTCTCTGATTTCTGTTTCTTGGTTCCTCTGTTTTTTGCGCTTCTGCTTCTCTGCTTCTCCGCTGTTTTGTTTATACTGGTGAATTACTGCTCTGCTTCTTTGCCTTTTGCATCTTGCGTAGCCTTTCAGCCCAATCTACAATGAGAGTAAGCAGAAGAGCAGGAAACACTAGACAACAAGAAGACCAATCAGAAGAAGAAAGACAGTTGAGACGAAGAAGCAGAAGAAAAAGGACGAAGAAGAAGAAGAAGAAGAAGAAGAAAAAGAAGAACACCAACAAGACCAATCCCATGATCAATATTCCCAGAAGGGCAAGACAATGACAAGAGCTGCACAGATTGCAGAGGGATTCGATTTGGTTTCTGGAGGTGCTATGCCCTCTCAATCCTCCTTCAAGCGAAGTCTGGACCGCCCACTAATCAGGATCCGCAACATCCACAACACAAAACGAGACCAAAAGCAACACGCAAAGATTCTGGGGACTACCATAAGCAAACGAGATCAAGAGTAATGGCACGGGCAACAACAGCAGAAACGGCCATAGCAATGAGGACATCACCAGCAAGCCTGGGCAACAGTATCAGCAACAACTACGATAACAACCATTCAGAATTTGAAAACTACACTGCAAGTAGCAGGTCTTAGCAAGAAAATCTTGTAAAGACCATTCAAATGAGGTTCCAGCTCCGCAATGGCGATACTGTCGATACTGCACAAACGACGCGTTCCAGATCCAAATTGCTGAAAATACAATGAACCCACTATGTCTACAATCCAGCAACTCCAAAGCAAATGGAAGATTCGGAATCCCAACATGCTGCCACACACATGCATACAATTGCGAAGTTTCACCTCCCACACACTGCAAAGACCTAACAGAAAGAGCGTTGAAATCCTTTATCTTCATTCCTCTTTCCTCAGGAAAGTGATCCCGTTCCTATGAATATGCGTGTTAACTACTTGTCTCCACTTGTCTCCTTTCGTATCCCGTATCACTTCTTTCCCCCTTTGTCTCCCATGCCCTCTTTTGGTGAAAAAGGATGCTGTTCATGGTGACTCCCTTGGCTGTCTGGTGTATGGGAAGCTGTGGGAGCTGTGGGCATGGATTATCGAAAAAGAACATGTGAACCCTTCGGCTTTGAATCTTTGAATCTGCCATGGAAGAGCAAGATGTCGCGAGGAAATCTAACATGAATCAAAGAGATCGGATCGACAAAGGTTAGTTTGTTAGAGACAAGTCTGATAGAGTAAAGTTTAGTCGGGGTAAGTCTGATAGAGGGAAGTTTGATGGAGATACGTTTCAGCGAGACAAGTCTCTTAGAGATTATTTTCTTAGAGTTAATTTGATAAAGATCAGTTCCACAGAGGTAAGTTTGCTAGAGAAACGTTTGATGGAGCTAAATTTGACAAGGAACAAATTGATAGGAGTTTGATAGAGGTCAGTTTGATGGAAATAAACTTGATGTAAAGATAACTTTCATGGTGAATTTTCACAGAAGAAGGTTTGACAGGGGTGAAGTTGCTAGGGATTGGTTTCATACAAGTAAGTTTGGTGGAGGTAAGTTTGATACAAATAAGTTGCATGGAGATACGTTTCATGGAGGCAAGCCTGAGAGACGCAAGTTTGTTTGATAGAAGCTATTATTGACGGCTGGCACAGGTGGAAGAAGAGGTAAAAACGTAGTTGAACAAACTGTTTGGGGTCGATGCCGGTGTGTTTTTTTGGGACCCGTGAGAGGTTGAAGCCAAGAAAGGTCATCTTTCCCGAGTACGATAGAGAGGAATGGGCCAGGGGTGATCGACGTTCCGCCGTTCGAGATTTTTCTGTGGACAAGCTCGTGAGTTGGGATTTAAGGCTCTTGGCCCCAGAAGTGGAGGAGTTTATCACCAGAATTTTGCCAAGACTTCATGGCAGTTTTTTTCCTTTGGAAGGTGAATGTTTAGGTGGTGGCTGGTAGGATCATTTGGTTCATTTATGTTCATTTGTAGCCATACTGGAGGTTTGAACTTGGAAACTCATGAGGTTAGTGGGGTTGAAGTCACAGGAGACTTTTCGAACACTGGAAAGGCAAACTTTCGCTTTGTTCGGGTCTGAATTGTGCAAGGATTCCAGCTCAGCCCCAAAGCAGTTGATGAGATGATGTTGGACCAATTGGATACAACTGATGTTGACTTTGATGTGGCGTGCCGCTGGCTCCGGTCAAATGAACAGGAATGGAAAACCTGGCTTCCAGAAAGCGGAAAGTGTTCCCCCCAATTTGGGATGTACAGCGTGTCTTGCCAAAGCTATCTCCAGGGTGGACTTTCAATTTTCGATGCATGTTGCTTTCAGTTTTCACAGACCTGTTTGGGAAGTAAGCACGAGTCCGATGAAACCTGATCGGAGTTGGATGTTGTTGTCGAAGATCAGGTCGTAGTCAAAAGAACACTGGAAATATCGGTCTCTTCAAAGTGGTAGTGCCAGGTGCCCTTTTTCTGTGGGCTACGGAACAAGATTTCGATCACGCATACAGCATATTCATACAATTTATGCTTCCTGTAATCCCCCTGTCTATGGGCCTGAATATTCCAGGCCTTTTTTCAAGCGACTTTCGTCCACGCCCTGTCATTTTGATATATTTCGATGCATACTCACCGTACCCCACCAAATCATAAAAATGTCTCCAAGTTTGGATCCATCTGAAGCCATTGAGTGCCCCGTCAGACTCGACTAAAAGCGACTCATTTCACCCAGGAGAAGGACGAGAAATTTTTGCAGACTCGTGAGGAGGTCAAAATCACCTGTAGGGCTTGTCCTTCAGGCCTTCAAAAAAAAAACAAATCTGGTTGAGTGGTCCGGCAAGGATTCACCCCCAACTTATTCCCATGACAAAATGGGGAAATGATGGGACATGTGACAAACCCGGACGCCCATGATGAGAAACTCACCACTTACACCTTGGATACGCCTAGGAATGGGGGTATCTGCACCAAGGTTCTCAATCACTTTATCCCTAACTGTGATGTTTGTTTTGCTTGTTTCAGATACTTGTACCAAAGCATTTGACTTCTGTTCGTCGTACCATCCAGCTTGGTGTCGGGTTGTGTAGTGAATGCGGCTGGATTGCACGTAGTTGTATCCTATCATATCCTATCATATCCTATCATGTAGCATCATTTCGTAGCATGTAGTATGAGTAGTACGATACCGCGAAAGTCCTCGGTGGCAGTCATCAATCCGCAGATATCCACAGGCTTCTTCTCCTCTCAGCTGGAGGATGCACAAGGTCAGGGAAGCATCGGGAAAAACATCAAAAGCGGCTTCAAAAACAGCATGAAAAACATCTGATTCATGGGATGTTTTTGAGAATGTTCCATAATGTTCCTGGAATTTCAATTGACCATTTGATTTGACAACTTTACACCAGAGTTGCTTTTGCGAAGGTGCTGAAAAGCTCTGATTCCCCTGGAAGGAATCACATTCATTTGCCAAGAATGTCCCAGTGGATCCTTCCAAGTTTCTGGAGCATCGGTATCATGCACTCCATGTCCAGCTGGCAGCTACCAGAATGAGACCGGGAGTCTTGCGTGCAACCGTTGTCCAGTTGGCCAGTACCAAGATGAAGAGGGTCAACGTGACTGCAAGCTTTGCCCGGCTGGTGCCACAACGCTCTTGTTGGGGTCCAACTCCATTTTGGATTGTGGCTGCAAGGCTGGGTCCATCAACGTCGCCAGCGTTGCCACCAATGTCACCAGTAAGGCTTTGGAGTGTATTCCATGTCAAGAAGGCTTCGATTGCCCATTCTCCTCAAGCGTTCAAGCTTTGCTGACAGGCCTGGCCGTCAAACTAGATTGACATCCTGCATGTCACCTGCATTTGGTTGGATTTTCCGGGCACTTTCAATGATTCAAGGACTATTCAAGGTTTAGATTATCAAAGGACCTACCAACGTCTACTAACTGTACCAAACTGCTCTTGAAACATGGTCACGCTATGTTGAGGCATTGTGACATGAAACAGCCTTCTGAAACAGCGGCCTGTGGAGGACAGCCTTCGTCAAGTGAACAGCTCGTTACTTGTATGCATCGTGTGCATTGCAAACTGTGACGCCACATCAATCCCAGTGCGTGTAATGCGCGTGATTATCTAGTTGTTGGACAGTTGGACACCAAACTGGATATCACCGGATGTTGGACCCAGTCTTGTGCGTAGTCCGGAGCTTCCAAGAACGTATTTTCAAAGCTGGAGCAATGGAGCCGTGTGGCAAACGTCTTGCCAAACGCTGCGCCCGAGGCGACCAGAATCCAAAGTGGCTACTTCGCAACCGTCAATGATCCGTTGCAGCTTTTCCGATGCAGACCTGCTGCTTGGTGCCCAGGAGGAATGCCAGGACTGGCTTGCAAACGGCTGAGGATGCTTGGGGTCTACCTGGGGTGTCGAGGTTTGCAGAATTCTGCTGTGTGGTGTCCCACCAGCCATTTCCAGGTCGGCGGTTTCAACCATTCATGTTTCTTATTTTCAATCATTGGAGGACAATCCCCGAGGACTAGGACTAACAGTTTTAAAAGGTCTGAAACCACCAATCAGTTTCGCTTCTGTTCATGATGCCCCGGTGCTGACATAGCTGCTAGAAAGCAAACACCGCGGAATGACTCTGCAGGAACATGCGCTGGGGGCTTGAAGGGTGAGCCTTGCTCATTCTGTCCTGATGGAAAAAGCTGGGCAGGTGACAAGTGTGCAGATTGTGGAGCCGCAGCAGTTGGCTGGGTGGCTGCAGTTTCATTGGCTTTGATAGGCGTTAGAACCGCCTATTTCTACTCAAACTCTGCTGCAGCTTGGCACTTAAGATGTTGCTCGAAAAGGGGCTCTTTCAAACGAGTCTGTTACAGTCTGTGAGCTTGCTGGAAACTTTGGACTTCAATGATACAAGCACCCAAAACTCCCAGCCTGGCAAGAAACTGCTTCTGCGAACCATAAACCGGAAAAGGGCATGTTGCAAAATTGGAGATTGAGACTCAGAGAGCCAGCAGTTTTATTCCCTGCCTGCCAGGTGAGGGTTGTTAGATTTTATGTTAGCTGTCCCGCCTCATCCTCCACCGGGCCTCAACCGCAAGCGCTAGATTGCAGTGTTCCCCGCCGGACCCGAACAGCAAGCTCAGGCTCAGAGTGTTCCCCGCCGGACCTCCACCGCAAGCTCCGGAGCACAGTGTTCCCGCCAGACCTCCACGGCAAGCTCCGGATCACAGTGTTCCCCGCCGGACCTCCACCGCAAGCTCCGGAGCACAGTGTTCCCCGCCGGACCTCCACCGCAAGCTCCGGAGCACAGTGTTCCCCGCCGGACCTCCACCGCAAGCTCCGGATCAGAGTGTTCCCCGCCGGACCTCAATACTGCTACTGCTACTGCTACTGCTACTACTGCTACTGCTACTGCTACTGCTGCTGCTGCTGCTGCTACTGCTACTGCTACTGCTGCTGCTGCTGCTACTGCTACTACTACTACTACTGCTGCTACTACTACTACTACTACTGCCACTACTACTGCCACCACAGCTACAACTACAATTACAACTACACTGCATATACTACAGTAATTACATTGCAGCACGCTACAACCACAACTACAACTACAACTACATTACATTACACAACACTACGCTACACTAATTATACTACGTTACACTACAACTACAACTACAACTGCAACTGCAACAGCAACTACAACTACAACTGCAACTACGTTACACTACATTACGCTAGACTACACTGCACTACAACTACAACTACAGCTACAACTACAGCTACAACTACAACGACACTACTTTGCACTACACTACACTAGACTACACTACACTATACCGCGCTACAGTACACATTACTATGGTACACTACGCTAGACTACACTAATTAAGGGCTGCCGCCCACTGCCGCCGACCCCACAGTGATAACGTTGACCGTGAGATGTGAATATGGTGGTCACTCAAAAAAGGAAACACATGTCAATGTTGTATTTTGGACGTATAAGCTTAACATTGTTTGAAGTAAGTGTCTCAGTCGATGCTTGCAGGCTGGTTGGTTGCTTGGGCTGCTGCTGTTTATGGCGCATGTTTCACTTGCAAATGAGTTAAGATGGAAAATGCTGATGCAGCAAGAAGGGAGACAGGGCCGCGTTTTGTTTGAAGATGTTAAGGGGACCTCTTGGGGTCCCAGTTCTAGAACATGATATGTCTATGTCCATGCATATGTATATGTACATCCACATTTTTTGTACAGTAGTTTGAAGCTTGGCTCTTGAAAGAAGAGCAACCATTGAATGACATTTAGGAACGTCAGTGAGTAGAATAAAACCAAGCCCAGAATTCTGTTCGAAAAAGTTCTTGGGAGAAGCCTGGGGCCGAAGCGTGGCTTAGGGGAAAGGATAAAAAGGAAGCAGTTCATGACGTGAAATGTGAAAGTATGGGCCCCGAACCCTATCAAGTGTGGCAAAGCTAGCGTGAAAATGTGAACAGCTCATTTCAGGTATGAATGTGTGGAAAGTCTATGAGTGTTGAAAAAAAAATATTGCTAGCTCTGCATATGGAAAAGGGTTTCTGGGTTTAGATGGGTTGGCGTTGGCTTGCTTGTGAGGGAACCGGGAAAGGTGCTTATTTAGAATGCAGCTGCCAGGCTCCGGAAACAAACCGTTGGGTGTGCCCGTGAAACGCTTGCCTTGCAGAGCCTTACCCCCATGCCGGGGGGCTCCAGTGCCTAACATCGCTTTCTGAACGTAGAAGAAATTAGTTTCAAATGCAGCTGCCAGGCTCGGAAAACGCGTGCCTCAAAGAGCCTTACCCCCATGCCCCTGAAGGACGGACCAGGTGCTCCGCTGGGAGGCCCCAGTGCCTAACATTGCTTTCTGAATGGAGAAGAAATTAGCTTCAAATGTAGCTGCCAGTGACAAAACGCTTGCCACGCAGAGCTTTGCCTTCATGCCTTTGAAGGACGGACCAGGTGCTCGGCTGGGAAACTCCAGTGCCTAACGTCGCTTTCCGAACGGAGAAGAACGATGCATCAGCAATGCCCGTGAAAGTGACAAACGCTTGCTTCTCAGAGCCTTACCCTTGGCCCTGACGCGCCAGGCCCCTGAAGGACGGACCAGGTGCCCCGCTGGGAGGCACGGAGAAGAAATGAGCTTCAAATGCAGCTGCCACGCTCGGGTGCATGTGCCCGTGCAAGTGTCGAATGCTGGCCTCATGGATTACACCACACCACAACCACAACTACAAGTGCAACTGCAACTAAACCTGCACTACACTAATTACACTACACTCGGCTACAACTGCATTACACAGCAACTACAACCGCACTACACCACACTACATCCAGCAGCTGTGCTGAGGTGACCACCGCAACCCCTGCAACCACTCCAAGAAACACAACTCCAACCACCTTTCGGTCCATCAGTGGATTCGCTCTGCCATCCGTGATTCACAACAACCAACCTCTCCTATAGGTTTCCTATTTTTGAAACTCCAGCCACCGCCTTGTGCGGAACTACTGGTATAGACGATTAATACATAGACAGGTTTTTGGCTTCAGGGTGTTGCGATACAAGGTGCACAAGTGCACGACGTTCAAGGCATGCGAAAAACACAGAGAACTGCACAAGCTCAGGTCACTGCGCAAGCCACACCCTGGAGAACTGTCCAAATGACGGTTCGCCTAGCCGTGAATGTCATGCAAAGTCTCGCGCTCTTTGGATTGATGTCTGCAAAATGGCCTGAGACTTTTGAGCAAATTTCCTCGAGTTTGCAGATTTTTGTCCTAGACATGAAGAATTTGAACTTGAACTGTTTGCTTGGTGGCAACTCTGTCCTCAGTTATGTGGCGTCCACAGTTGTATTCCCCCTTGTGCTGCTTTGGCTGGTGATTTGCCATGCAGGGTCCCATTTGATTTGCTCGCGGAAGTGTGGCTTGCACCGCTGGAAATGGCCTTTCACCTTCAACACCATGGGGCTTTTCCTTCAGCTCGGGTTTGGCACAATGGCTGCAGTCTCTATGAAACCAATGATGTGCTATAGTGCCTTGATTATGATTTGCAGTCTCTTTGAAACCAAGTATTCTTGGGAACTAACGGATATCGATGCGTTTCCCATATCCAGCAGATGTTTATCAATGATTGAACAAACAAGGCTATCATTTTGCAGCCATTTCTTCTCAACCTCAAGCAGCAAGTTTGGAACGCCGTTCTAAGGACACCCCAATGGACGGCACAGTGTGGTAAGTTACCCCAGCATTTTGTGTGGAGAAGCTGGGCACGGCCTTATGGTGCTCTTTGGGATTCTGTCGTTGATTCTTTTGGTTGGATTCGTGGCCCTTTGCAGCTATGCTGTGTGGAAACTTCCTCGATGGAGCCTCGAGGGTGAGTATAAGAAGGCGCAAAGCTTCCGATTTTGCACCTGGAATTTTCGCTCTGACACCTACGGCTTCATCGTTGCCCTTCTTTGCCGCGGATTGGGTTTTGCAGTGGCTGTTGTAGTGGGCACCAATGCCCCACCGGTGCAGACAGGCCTTGCAAGCATGGTCCTGATCACATATGCTGTGATGCAAGCGTGGCTACGACCATGGAAGGCTCCTGTCATCAATGTGGCAGACGCTGTTTTGAGCGCCTGTCTCGTGGTATTGGCAAACAGGTCTTCTCATGAGGATGGTCTGTTGGAAGAAGAATTTCAGGAGTACTTCACCCTGCTGATTTTGCTGTTCCCAACCTGTCTTTAGAAAAACACGTTTTTCTTTCAGATGAAAACGGATTGTAGAGTTCCGCTGGTATGCTGGTATGATATGCGCACCACAAATAGCATGATATATATAATGATATGTGATAGGATAAGCGAAGGTCCACGAGTGCGACACAACTCGGTTTTCTCGTTGTTTCTTAAGTCCATGGTTTTCAATGAATTTTCAATGAAGGCTGACCTTCGCTTGTTTGGCTTCCCTTGTGCTCCTTTGTATTGTCGGGGTGGCTTTGCAGCTTGCTGGAGTTGATTGGAACTGTGTCTTGAGCGGTGGTGGCCACGACGCCACGAAGATCGCCCAGTCTCTGAAGCAATGTGCCTTGGATGCCTTGGAACTGGGATGATTTCATCTTCCAAGGCCTATTTAGTCACAAAGTTGTGTGAAAACAAAATCAAACGATGACCAACTATGTCCAGCTTACATTTTTAGATTTACCAGAATACGTTTTGACATACCAGATCTCAGAGTGTCTTGGACTTCTTGGGAGAAGCCCCAGCGATACAATCATTGAAGCCATGTGCTATGAAACATCGTGGAGCCAATCCCACCCAATGGGGCTCAGGTGTTTTCCCCGTCGTTTCTGCAAGCTGCAGTTTCTGAGACACATGCAAATCCAAAAGGCAAGACACACACGCACAGACTCATTCGGGTTGGTCTGAAAATGGGGGTCGATTCCAAATCCGTTGGTGAGTCACTATTGTCTGCATTTCACGGTAATTTACTACTATTTATTTGGGGTATATACATGCACCCCATTTTGTGCTCATTTCTCGATTTCTCTTCCGGCCACGTTTTTTCGGGGACCTTCTGCAGGCGAGGCTTTGCCTGTTCACAATATATAACAGTTTTGCGCTTAGCGAAATATGGTTCACTTGTGCTTGAACATTTGATTGAAATTTGGTCGGCTTGTGGATTGTAAGCTTGAGCAGGTAGTATGTCTTCCCGGGCGAAGCCGCATGGGCAGATTTCATGTTTGATTTTCCTTTCGAGTTACTCATCACCAAAATGACTCACCCCCGCAGTTGACCCAGTTAATGGTTCAGATGCACAGAAGCTCAATGCTCGTGCGCATTGAAGAGGTGTTTCAGTGTTTTTTTAATTTGTTTCCCGATGACAAGGGGAAATCTAGGCCAAATCTCTTCCACAAAATGGGTGAAGACATTCATCGCTAAGCTTGTGCTTACAAAACGTCGAGGATTTCTTAGGGCCACGGGCAGAACACGGCAACAGCTAGGTGCAGAGTGGCTGATGAAGCTTGAAACCGCCCACTTGCAAAGCGAGATTGAGGCTATGAACCCCTACGACGCTCTGAGCAACAAAAGATAGCCAAGTTTTTTTCTTGCAGTGGGTGTATTTTTTGGGATCTTTGGAGGAAAGGCAAGAAATATTTCTTCAGTTCTTGAGTTCTTTTGTTCTTGGAAGTTTGGAGGACGTGATGACCATCCTGAATCTCATCAGCGTTATAGAGGCCGATATCCAGAATACGAAGCCTGACCGGAGCGACCGGGCGACAACGACTTCGAACAGATCGAGTGGGCGCGGGGTCTCGCACTCCACAAGTCGGGTGAGGCTGGCTGCTTTGAACGCCAGCATCACTGTGCTCTCTGGCCCAGCTGAATGGAATTTCACCAACTTACAAGGCTCCTCAGCATGGTTGAGTTCGGAAGAGTTCCTGTTTTTCTTTTTGGGAGGTGAAGATGCTGGTTGCCATAAATGGGGTGCCCCCAAATGGATGGTTTATGATGGAACATCCAAAAGAAATGGATGAGAACTGGGGGTACCTCAATTCTGGAAACCATCAGCGAATCAGCGATTTTTTGATCTCCGAGGTCCTACAGATCCGAAGCCCGAAGTAGAAACTGACGCTTGTGAGGTTCACCACCCAGGCCGGTGGGAAATTCCATGGGAAATCTTCCAAAAACATGGTGAAAAACATGCTGAACATGCATATTTATAATAAATGGGCTAACGCCCAGGTGCCGCCGCCCCGCATTTTGAGGCTTCGGAATCGCAGATCACTGAGAAAATATAAGAGTCATAACTTTAAACAGTATTTGAGGATATCCAACTATAGACTATAGCGTTATGAGAATATTGCAGCTACAGGGCTTGTATGACAAGATATGTTTTATTACCATTTGCTGCACCATTCTTGTAACCATTCTATTTACTATTCTGGAAGCACTCCTGTTCTTGTAACCGTTCTGTTTCCTATTCTGGAAACACCTCTGTTCTCTTAAACATTCTGTTTCCTGTTCTAGAAGCACCTCTGTTCTTTTAACCATTCTACTTCCTATTCTGGAAGCACCTCTCTTCTAATCATTTAATTATTTTCAATCCACCAGTCTTCCTGTAGCCATGCCACCTCTATCCTGGAATCATATTTTGGATGGCCATCCTATTTTAGACCCTGAGAAATTTGCGCCCCTGAGGTAAACGTTTCGGGCCCTCGTGGAACGTGCTTCGCGCAGGTTTTGAAACCCTCTAAATGCAGTATTTCGACCTGGCAACGCAAGGGCAAAGGGCAAAAGGTGCACAGGAGGGTTTCGTGTCATAGTGAAATGTGCCTAGTGAAACGTGCATTGCGCACATGTGGAAACCCTCTAAATGCAATATTCGACCTGGCAAAGCGCTGGCAAGGGGCTAAAGCTGCACGGAGGGGTTTGGGGTCCTGCTAGAACGTGCTTCGCGCAGATTTTAAAACCTTTTATAAACACAGTATTTCGACCTCGTAAAGCAGGGGCATTCGACCTGGCAAAGCGCTGGCAAGGGGCTAAAGCTGCACGGAGGGGTTTGGGGTCCTGCTAGAACGTGCTTCGCGCAGATTTTAAAACCTTTTATAAATACAGTATTTCGACCTCGTAAAGCAGGGGCATTCGACCTGGCAAAGCGCTGGCAAGGGGCTAAAGCTGCACGGAGGGGTTTGGGGTCCTGCTAGAACGTGCTTCGCGCAGATTTTAAAACCTTTTATAAATACAGTATTTCGACCTCGTAAAGCAGGGGCATTCGACCTGGCAAAGCGCTGGCAAGGGGGTAAAGCTGCACGGAGGGGTTTGGGGCCCTGGTGGAACGAACTTCGCACAGGTTTTGAAACATGGAAGGGCTTGGGTCCCTGGTAGAACGTACTTCGCGCAAGTTTTTGAAACCATCTAAATGCAGTATTTTGACTTGGCAAGGCAGGGGCAAGGGGGGAAACGTGCACAGGAGGATTTCGTGTCCTAGTAAAAGGATCCCCGTGGCAATTTCCACTCTAGAACTGGTGAACCTGTGCATAGTTTAAACGATTTTTTCAACGTATTAGAATTTTAAAATTGATGTCAGGCTAGTCATTTTATTGTTGGGGGGTTGGTCTGAGCATTTTATTGGCGCGGTAAATCCTGATGATTTTTAACATGTTAAAATTCCATTCTCATTTTATTGCAAACAAAAGTCTGTTTGGAGCATTTTATTGCAGAATGGAACCAATGCTTTTCCAGGATCTTTTTATATCGATTTTATTGGGCATGTCATTTTGGATCAGCGAATTTTAAGGAATTTGAAGGAATTGAATTTTAAAGGAATTATAAGGAATATTAAGGAATTATAAAGGAATTATAAGGAATTTAAGGAATTTAGAGAGTTTTAAGGAATTTTAAGGAATCTTAGAGGAATTTTAAGGAATTTAAAGGAATTTGACGGAATTTGAAGGAATTTGGAGGATTTTAAAGGATCTTTAATGTTTTTAAATTTTAAAGGATATTTAAGGAATTTTAAGGAGTTTTTTTGGAATTTTGAGGAATTTAAAGGTTTTTTGAGGAATTTTAAGGAATTGCCACGAAAAAATGCCACCGTATTTTGTTGCTATAAAATGCTATAAACAAAGAAAAACGCTTGATATTTGGGCACCTTCACTCTAAAATACCCTTATCTAAAAAGAATTTCCTGACCCCTTTTTAAAGAGGCGTTTCTGAGGGTCTTCGAAATTGGATGAAGTTGGATGCAAATTCGGGCATGAATTTGCTGGCAAGGCATTTTATTGCAGAACCAGTTTTCATTGTTTTTGTGCATTTTAAAGCCTGAGGCCCTATGCACAAAAGTTAGACCGCTCTAAAACTCCTGCACAGCTTCACATAATGAAATGGAACCCCGATGTAAAAGGTGCCTAGTGAAATGTACCTGACGCAAAGGTAGAAAACCCTCTAAATGCAATATTCGACCTGGCAAAGCGCTGGCAAGGGGCTAAGCTGCACGGAGGGGTTTGGGGGGCCCTGGTGGAACGTGCTTCGCGCAGGTATTGAAACCTTCTATAAATGCAGTATTTTGACTTGGTAAGGCAGGGGCATTCGACCTGGCAAAGCGCTGGCAAGGGGCTAAAGCTGCACGGAGGGGTTTGGGGTCCTGCTAGAACGTGCTTCGCGCAGGTATTGAAACCTTGTATAAATGCAGTATTTCGACCTGGTAAGGCAGGGGCAAAGCGCTGGCAAGCGGGTAAAGCTGCACGGAAGGGTTTGGGGCCCTGGTATTTGGGGCCCTGGTATTTGGGGCCCTGGTATTTGGGGCCCTGGTGGAACGGTATTGAAACCCTCTATAAATGTAATATTTCGACCCGGTAAGGCAGGGGCATTCGACCGGCAAAGCGCTGGCAACGGGGTAAAGCTGCACGGAGGGGTTTGGGGCTTTGGTGGAAGGTTTTGAAAGCTTCTATAAATGCAATATTTCGACCTGGCAAAGCAGGGGCAAAGGGCGAAAGGTGTACAGGAGGGTTTCGTGTCCTAGTGAAAGGTGCCTATTGAAACGTGCCTCGCGCAAACAAGGAACCCCTCTGAACGCAATATTCGACCTAGCAAAGCGTTGGCAAGGGGCTAAAGCTGCACGGAGGGGTTTGGGGCCCTGGTGGAACGTGCTTCGCGCAGGTTTTGAAACTCTCTAAATGCAGATTTCGACCTGGCAAGGCAGGGGCAAGTGGCGAAAGGTGCACAGGAGGGTTTCGTGTCCTAGTGAAAGGTGTCTAGTGAAACGTGCCTTGCACAAAGGTGGAAACCCTCTGAACGCAATATTCGACCGGCAAAGCGCTGGCAAGGGGCTAAAGCTGCACGGAGGGGTTTGGGGCTTTGGTGGAAGGTTTTGAAAGCTTCTATAAATGCAATATTTCGACCTGGCAAAGCAGGGGCAAAGGGCGAAAGGTGTACAGGAGGGTTTCGTGTCCTAGTGAAAGGTGCCTATTGAAACGTGCCTCGCGCAAACAAGGAACCCCTCTGAACGCAATATTCGACCTAGCAAAGCGTTGGCAAGGGGCTAAAGCTGCACGGAGGGGTTTGGGGCCCTGGTGGAACGTGCTTCGCGCAGGTTTTGAAACTCTCTAAATGCAGATTTCGACCTGGCAAGGCAGGGGCAAGTGGCGAAAGGTGCACAGGAGGGTTTCGTGTCCTAGTGAAAGGTGTCTAGTGAAACGTGCCTTGCACAAAGGTGGAAACCCTCTGAACGCAATATTCGACCTGGCAAAGCGCTGGCAAGGGGCTAAAGCTGCACGGAGGGGTTTGGGGTCCTGCTAGAACGTGCTTCGCGCAGATTTTAAAACCTTTTATAAATACAGTATTTCGACCTCGTAAAGCAGGGGCATTCGACCTGGCAAAGCGCTGGCAAGGGGCTAAAGCTGCACGGAGGGGTTTGGGGCCCTGGTGGAACGAACTTCGCACAGGTTTTGAAACATGGAAGGGTTTGGGTCCCTGGTAGAACGTACTTCGCGCAAGTTTTTGAAACCATCCAAATGCAGTATTTTGACTTGGCAAGGCAGGGGCAAGGTGGGAAAGGTGCACAGGAGGATTTCGTGTCCTAGCAAAAGGTGCCTAGTGAAATGTACCGGACGCAAAGTAGAAACCCTCTAAATGCAATATTCGACCTGGCAAAGCGCTGGCAAGGGGCTAAGCTGCACGGAGGGGTTTGGGGCCCTGGTGGAACGTGCTTCGCGCAGCTTTTAAAACCCTCTAAATGCAGTATTTCGACCTGGCAAAGCAAGGGCAAACAAAGGGCGAAAGGTGTACAGGAGGGTTTCGTGTCCTAGTCAAAGGTGCCTAATGAAAAGTGCCTTGCGCAAAGATGGACACCCTCTGAAGACAATATTCGACCTGGCAAAGCGCTGGCAAGGGGCTAAAGCTGCACGGAGGGGTTTGGGGCCCTGGTGGAACGTGCTTCGCGCAGGTTTTGAAACCCTCTAAATGCAGTATTTCGACCTGGTAAGGCAGGGGCAAAGCGCTGGCAAGGGGGTAAAGCTGCACGGAGGAGTTTGGGGCCCTGGTAGAACATACTTCGCGCAGGTTTTGAAAGCTTCTATACATGCAGTATTTCGATCTGGCTTATAAGGCAGAGGCAAAGGGCGAAAGGTGCACAGGAGGGTTTCATGTCCTGCTAAAACGTGCCTCGTGAAACACTGCGCAGGAGGAGAGAGGGCATGAGGCGACAGACATAGCCAGGAAGATGGCCCTGGCTGATGCTGCATGAGGCGACAGATGTAGCCAAAAAGATGGCCCTGGCTGATGCTGCACACCTGCGGTGATCCCAGGCGCCGCCCCGCCTACGCCAAGGCTAGGCAGGGGGGCGGCGGATATAAATATAGATTAAATATATGAAATGGGAAAATCATCGAACTCAACGGAAGATTGTCCATTGTGGCCATCTTGTGCTGAAAAGGATCTAAGGTCAAAAAAGAGCAGCTTACGCAGCAGCTTGCAGACCAAGACCTCAAAGTATATCAAAGGTATTTATGTTCGGTTGATCCGAACTTGTGCATGGTCTATAAACAGTAAGTTGAATCAGGCCTTCACATTCGTTGACTGGCAGAGGTGCAATAATATGTCAATACTACTGTATTGATATTGAT